AAATGATGCGATTTCCTCGCTTTGTAAATAGCTAGGTGAAACCAAGTCCCAGGTAAGAGAAGGTTTGATGGGTTCGAGATCTATGGCTGGGTATCCTAATTAAGTCGCGAGCCATGACATTGTTAGGGTAGTAATTTTTGATAAGAATGTGTGAATCGATGGTGATTTGGTCGGTTTGCTGGTATAGTTCGAAAGAGAACGAGAAGGCACTTCATTTCAACACAGGGGTTGCATCCCATTGGTTTCTCTTTGCTAGCCCCCTGATGTTATGAACAGAATAGAGATAACTTGCATGACGTGTTGCATGAAGCGCATGAAAGGCATGAGCAATCCGCCCGGGAACAATTGGTAACGGTGGTGGAGGCTCCGGGTACTTACAAGTCCCAGAAAACTCCGCGCGGGAATTATTACACCCAATGTCAGACAGGCAGAAATTACCAGGAGACACACTCGTAGCCAAGGCTCAATCAGTGATGAGCCATGGATCAGCAGGAGCCGGATATATGATGTCATACACGAGCGAACTAATGGAGTCAGAAACTGCGCTCAGAAACGGGAAAGAAGAGGACGAGATCAACCACCGGTTGTCGTAGAATCGGAAAGCCACGGTCACAATGAGAGTCACCCAGCGACAAGGAAAAATTGATCAGGTCAGCATATCAATATGATAAGGCCAGATATTTCCTTGTGTGTATTGTTGCAGGATGATCAAATCATCAATAGCAGACCCAGCGGGCCGGACTCCACCATTCCATCACCAACCAACCCATCCCAAATGGATATTTCACCAGCAAAAATCAACGCGGGACACCGACGTTGTTTCGAGAACGACGTAACTCCTGATGTCCGGGACTCGAGTATGAAAGTGCCGATTACCTAAGCACTAATTGTTGATAAAGATCGCCGCAAATGTCGTCGAAATAGGTACTGGATTGTACACCTAACAAAAGTTCCAAATGCGGTAGCGTGGCCAAGCGGTCTAAGGCTCTGGTTTGAGATACCAGTCTCTTCAGAGGCGTGGTTTCGGATCTCACCGCTGCCACCATAAATTTGTAACCAGCCTAGCAAGGCTGAGGCGTGAATTACCAAAATAATATTTAGTTTAGAAAAATTAAATTATCTTAAATTGGGTAGCGGAATTTATCTGATCTTCTACCTGAGAAGTGCTAATGACAGGAATTAATGTGAATCGACGGCGATTTGGGTGGTTTGCTGATGTAGTTCGAGAGAGAATGAGAAAGCAACTCATTTCAACACAGGGGTTGCATCCCATTGGTTTTTCTTTGTTAGCCCCACCGATGCCGGGTGGAGTCTCCACTTTTGATGAAGTGGTCAATTTTTGTGAGTTCTCTAGCCGGGATTTTGTAGTGTTCGACTCGTTCCTACTCGACGTGTAATTTGCTGTTTAGTTTTCATTTTTGTGTCCAAAAAATGGTTGAAAAAATTCTTGCTTTTCTAATTCTTCAGTTACTGAAAAAAATCCATATCTCTTTCGCACTGTAGAAATTAGCCTGGGAAACCGCATTTGAAAAATTAAAAATGAAAAAATTAGTCAGTAGGCATAAAGCCAACCATGCATTTGTAGAGGAATGCTGGAACGCAAGGCAATTAGACGAGTCTAATTAGCATAACATCAGTTTGTTAATAGTTTTGTAGTTTAAAAGGTGTAAAATTTCGACTATTCGTCAACACGTCTTATGTTTGTTTTATTACTTGTAAATTCATAGTTCATATTGTTACGAAAGAAACCCATACGCTGTCCCGGTGCGACACATATGGGTTCTAGTATGTACAGCGATGATGTGTGACTCATCGTCGGTGACGGGCCGGGCGGTGTTCGCCAAAGAAAAGCCAGGATGCGGAAGTCGTGATGGGTATTCCAGAAAGACCTCGATCACGAAACATTTAGAACGAAAGTATGGGATTAAATAGGGACTACCTTCGGGAAGGACTAATTATTCGGTCAGTTCAGTCCACTAGAGTATAGTGTGTGCAAGTAGTCGGGTAAATTTAAGTTAGTGTGAAACAAATTGTTGAGTTTTACCCACGCCGATTTTAATCATCGACAAATTTAATTTTACGATCGGTATCGTGGATTCGTAGTAGATTTCATTTAATAATAAGCACTGAGGTATATCTGCAATATGTTTTCTTGATTGCATATGAAATTTTACAGAAGCACCCTGTATTTTTATAACCACGATATCTAAAATGTCTGGGGATTTATTAGTTTATTACATTATCCATACTTCACTCGCGATTAATAATTAATAGTTCTTTTTTCGCATTTAAACTATCTCAAACGTTGATATATTTTGAGAGAAAAGACCTTGCAAATTATCATATTTTTTTTTAATTAATATCATCCTGGACTCGACGTATCGGGTGTATTTTATATTTAGGTTGTCTTGCAATATTGTGTTTTTTTTGCATCCGAAGCATTTTCTGACAGCTTCAATTTGAACATTTATTCTCAAATTATTATTCTGATTTCGACCGTATTGTGTTTACTTTACATATCTTTTGTTTTATGTGATGTCTGAATTCTTTGACTGCATGATGTAATATTGATGAACTCTTTTTGACTTAACCAATCACTTGAATTAATGCGTAATTTAACTCCAAGCAAACTCTTTGTTGTTTAAAGAAGAAGGAGTTGAAGTGCATTGGTGAATTGCAATAGTGTTAGTATGGGAAACTTTAGCGTCAGTTGAATCATTGTGAGCAGGTCGCTGGCTTGGTAGTCCGCGAAATGTAGTGGATGATCCGGTCAATATGTAGCAACCCTGGACTGCGAAGTTTAGTAACGTTGAAAACAGAGGAAAGCTTTATCTGCTTGAACAGAGCCATCGTTCCCTTAACTGTGATCCATGATTTCAAACCGGTTCTAATAATCAAGGCAACGAGGGATATTTGGAGGTAAAAGTGTGCTTAACGGTATATCATTTTTCAGAAATAATTTTAACAGAAATGCTCTTTCAAAAAATTAACAATACCAATTGAAACTCGAGGTCTTCCGTTGATTTAACTTGGCTTACGCTACCAGTCATCACAGACCTATTAATTACATCCTCAATGTGATTTAATAAAGAAGCCTCATAAACTTCAATTTATGGAAACCTTACAGCGTATTCGTCTCTACAAGCCTCCATTGAGTAGATCCATTCTCAATTCTCTTCCATTACGATAATTAGGCATCCCAATAATGTGTCTTGTTTTAAAGAATAGACTATTGCTAAAGCACAACTCGAGTAAATTAGAGTGTTTTAGTTCAAATCCACATGTTCCTCTTTGAGTTAACGTAATGTCACGAGTCTAGTTTAATAACAAACTGTTTGATTTGTAGTACATGTAATCCATGAACGCTAATGTTTTGTTATCAGCTCCAAACAACCCATTCCTTGCTCACCAATAGTTATAAAAATTTGTTGTGTGTCAGTTTTTGTTTCAGCAACATTGACAACAATGACCGGATTTCTATTCTTTGTATGATCAACTAACATTTTGCACCAACTCATTCTGCCAGCACACACACCAAACAAATAAATTTCGATGTTTTATTCGAGTTTTCATCAATGAAATTTAACACCTTCCCGGTTTCATATTTTTTACATCCTTGCCAGTTTTGATCAACCATTGTCTTCAGGATACCCAGGGATCACTGTCTTACTGATATTTAATTTGTATGTAGTATCGAAATTTATTGTATTTTTACTTGATTTAACACTTCATCGCCAACAAAACCTCATATTGCCAGGAAAACTTGATTAGGGAAACATGACACATTCGTTAGATATCGCATTCATAATTCACAAAGTACTTAGCAATTAGAACATAAATTCTGTTGCAGTCTTCAGATCTATAATTTAGTATTTAGTTGATAGGAAAATATTAGTAAGGAAACTTTGTACGTATCAAGGACACTGCTTAATGTTTATTTATACTCTCGAGGGACTTATAAACTCTCCCGCCAGAGCGCATCGGAAACCAAAAACATCTTCATAATGCCCTTGATAGATAAATACCTATTAAAAACCAAGTCAGATTATATAATAAGGGATAGGTTTATAAAAATAAATCAAAACAGGATTCTGCGCATTTTTTGCACATTTATACCAAAATTATTCTCATATATAAACGTTAATACGCTACAATCCACAAACAGTGTTGGTTTTGTAAATCCACACGTATAATATTGCTGTTTTTCGCCTATACACATTCATAACTTTGTTGTGGCTCAACTAGTTTCAATGCTAAAGCACGATTTATAGCGATTCTGGAAGCCGAAGCGAACCATAAATAGAACAAAAAAACTGAACATTTGCCTCACAACGTAACCGCAAATGCTAACGAAAACGATTGATTGCACAATGTAGTAGTACCCCGTCTATAAAGTTGGAAATGGAAGCTCCACTGAGGTCGATCAAACAAAGAAAGCAAATTTTACTCTAGAATTTTTTCCATCGCCGTTTACGGGTTTTATTCCTTTTACGGACCATCTATAAGTCGTTATTTTAATCAAGCGGTATTTCTCTTCACGGTTCATAAGGCATAATTTATAACGCAATTTTCTATAAAGATAACGTTTTCGTTCTATTTTATTCATTCCGTCCCTTCTGGTGTTACAACTGTATAATATCAACCTCATATCATATTTTTCATGTTCCGGACACATATACTTAAAGACGACGTAAAAGTGGTATTGCGTCGTGGATGTTTATGGCCTTAGTTCTTTACGTTTAATGTTGTACGTCTTACGAGTGTTTTGTGCAATAAGTTTTTTCAGAGGCTGAAAATGTTAAAATGTTAATGGCGCTTTACTCCAATTTTGTTTTCGTTAAATAAACGTTCCAGAAATTCAGGTAAGTGAAACCGTTAACAGAACATTTGTTTTGTACTTGCAAATATTTGTATCGCATGAAAATAAAAAACAACAAGAGAAATCCTCAGTAACTTTATGCCGCACCGAAGAATTTCTAAACGTTTCTTATCCAACTCACCCGAAAAGTTAGGCATCGAAGCAAAAAGCACTCCAACTTCTGCATAACTTTGAGAATAAAGTTCATCGTGTTGCCTCTTCCTGTTTCCCATAAAATGAGCAGCTACATGTGGCGGCAGGATATTATACACTAAGGCTTCATTTCTTCTTCTCATATCCTCCGCGAAATCGCGCTGCTCCTCGACTTCGCATCTCCACAAGAATAAAACTCTAGCGACCTGCTCCATCTACCAGAATAGCATTAATACCACGGATAGCAACCTATGCAAACTTACGTGTCTCGAGAGCAAAGCCAGAGCAAGAGTCGCCGTAAGTAACAACGCTGAAAGTGTGTATTTACCTTTAGTTAAGCTGAAAAGCAATGCGGTTCACTATGAATAATTCAGAGTGTGAGCGTGTGTACCTATTCCAGTTTTTGCGGGACTCTTCGCACTCTAGAACCAGCTCTAGGACAAAGATGTTAACTAGGCACTGACCTAGAGCTATTATGAACAAGAACAAAGCCTTCCACAGGTACGACAGACACGCTGGAAGAGATGAAGCGATCAAAATTAATACAGCGAAGTAGCTGAAATAGGATGGATAAAGACATGACGAATTTATATCGTCTGTGAACGTGCAATTATCTGAATTCGATTGGAATTGAACACAAGAAATCTGAAAATAAAACCATCAAAGCGTTTCTTTCGGATAAATCAGATTCGACTCACTGTGTCTATCACGTTGGCCGTCCCTAAAAGAAAGACACAAACTGCAGACAGTATCCTTCGTACCGTTATTGAATCCTTGAAAGCATTCCAGCATTTCAGCTGAAATAATCCGGTTTAAGATTTGGCTTGCCGACTGGAAAAACTACTTACGACCGGGGAAAATTCGTCGCATATAAGAATAGACAGTAGGACTATGATTATTAGATTTTCCGTGCAGTAGGAAATATTGATTGACATGTCCCTGAAGGTATAGATTATCTGTCAGACAACTTTTTCGTTTCGGTTAAACTAAATATTTATTTTACCTTGGTAAGACAATGAAAACCGTCAGCGCGATGGCAAGACGTACTATTAAGAACATCAGTAAGGTTATACTGGAAAAAGTCTCCACTTGTTGTTGATACGATTTTTCTTTATGCTCGTCCACAAAACCAAGTGTCAGGCATTTCGTATTCTTGGATAACTCTCTAGAAGGATTCGAGACGTTTTAATTATTTCTAACGATTTCTTCCGCTAACTCACTTATGTCCGTCCCTATTAACCAGTTCTGCCCTTAATCGGATCTTAAAATCCCTCGAGTCCTGTCGCGATCTTTTCTGGTTACCACCCTGAAATAAAAAAACCTCGCTGAAAGTTAGAGGATGTGTTAACGGGAACGGAGAACTATGTAAATTTTCTCTTTTGTTTAGCAAGAAAATATTGACTGCGAGTCGCCTTGTTGTTCGAGTCGTATTTTTGTGATGCTCTACTCATAGCAACTTTAATTAATGCAATTTGTAAGTGAGCGACGCTAATTTTACGCTCCTTGACTTTAAAATTAATCAAATTATGCTAAAACGTAATTAAAAATTTTATTTTGAGGTAATCAACAATCCTTAACGAGATTTAGAACTACCTTCGATACCACAATAATTGTGGAAATGAACCGGTTTAATTGCACTGATTGGTTGTTCAAATAAATGCAATTGATGAAAAACTTGCCGATGTCAGCGATATTGAAAACTAGGTCAACGTTCAATTAGGAAAAATAAACAAAAATCCGTTTTCTATTTCCTAATTCTCAATTTCACTACAGGCAGAACAGTGGATCAATAAATCAACGAGGCACGTAATGCAGCAAAATCTGCATCTCTTTTAGGAGCGGTAGTTTAAATATACCGATTCGACAGTTCTCCCAACCCGAGGATTGTTCAATTTATTTAAATGTGTTACGCTTCCCATCACTTTTCAGATGTCATTTTGGCTATTTGATTTGCATACTCCAGATTAGTTGGGTTTTTAGGAAAATGGGTCGAACGAATGCTAAAAAATTCAGCTTCGAATGTGTAATAAACAATTCCTGCTATTACTGTACCCTCTAATTTAGCCCCAAGGTAAAGGTGAAGGTGAGTTATTTCCGTTATTAACAACACATGGTCTACTGATGTTTCGTAAAGCACAGAATGTGACCGCTTTTTATCGAAGCTTGTCAATTAAATATTAAAGTGTCAAAAAACTAGTCAGCGTAGTATGGGTTTTATTTTTATTTTAAATTGTTGTGTCTGTTCGTAGATATTACTTACGTTTGCTTCTGCTTCTTCTTCTTCTTTCGTGTCTGATATATCTGCTATTACGCAGCTATCTTCTTCGGGAAGTATGCTGCTACCGTTTTGCACTTCTTGTACAGGAGGCTGGAACTAAATTCAATTTGTAGTATGAATTTTAGTAAAGTTAGGTAGAAAATAGTAAATTACTCTTTACAGCTAGGGATAACACAATGACTTTTTATCTAAGATATGTCGACGTTACAATAACTCTTTAAAAGAAACGCCTAACAATACTCCGGAAAAAAGCACGTATTAAAAAGAAAAATCTTTTTGTTCCGGAATGAAGGCATGTCCGTGTCAGTGTCGCGCTCAACTTCCCCAAATGAAGAAAAAATCTTTCTTGACTTAACTCTATTTAACTTTCATCTACTTTGTTTTACATAATAACAGTAACTGTGGAAAGAAAAACAGGTCTTTCATTATCAGACCAAGTTTTTCAAATTACCCTCTTACTTAAAACAATGGTTGCACTGACACTTTCATTCTCTGCTCCGCTTCTGACTCAGAAACCGTATTTATTTTATTAAATGCGATAATTTTTTTTGGGGGAAAATTTTGCCTCGATGTCATAATTATTGTGAGAGGATAAATATTTGCCTTTTGTGAATTTGTGATTACAAATTCTGGCAAACGTAGATAAAGCAAATACGTAATCGTAAATATCCCCAGAAGTTTATTAAAGACAGAGAACAAAATGCGATGGAATGCCTTACGAAATAACAACTTAATCAATGTGCATAAATAAAGGTAGAAATGAAATTTCCAAATAATTGCCAAGACAATAACTGTGATTTTAGCTGAGGGTTTGATGCTTGCAATTTTGCGAGGATTTAAGCAAGACTCCGAGATGCATATTTCCCATTTAAAATACTTTTTATTTTGATTTTCGGTTAATTAAAATTTTCTCTTCTGTATTTTCAGAATTTCAGATTTCAATAAAAGGTTTAGATAGCTTGGAATTATGTGAATCATATATTGTTATCTTCCAGCTAAGCTAATTTTAATTATGGCGCTATTATAGAATTAAACAATAATTTATCTATTTAAACTGAGTAGTTATGATATAGCATGTTTTTTGACAATAAATTAAAATAAAATTGTATTTGTCAACGTTATTTTAAACATTTTTGTTTTAATTGTTATTTAATTAGGACAAGTAATAATATTTAAGGACTATAGTATAGTAACTTTCAGTTTCAGTTTGGTATATATACAGGGTGTCCGATCAAATCTTGCGGCCCTATACTTTGAAAATGGATATATTTTGAAATTCTTCAAAAGTTTTATAAAAAATATTTACATTATTTTACAATAAATTAGTTATACCAGATTAGAACAGTTATTTAAGCGCAAGTTCGAACTCTCGTCCTTTATGTGCAGTAACACAAAACTTTTGATTAGTTTGCGTTGCGACTTGTCGCAGTTAATCGAGTATTACGTGTTAAAGAGGTGCAAACACTCCTAATTTAACTTCTTTAATCTTCTAAATCACGCAAAGGTCACAAATACGACAAATTTTTTATGTATCACCACAAAAATAAATCTATGGGAGTTAAATCTGGGCTGCGAGCTGGCTAACGAATAGGGCTTCTATTGCCGATACAGTTATTTCTACCGAGCCTGAGGTACAAGTTTGTTTTGTAATAACTTTTATAAAGTAAAAACCAGCGGCATAAATAACACCCCCACACACCCTGCACCAACGGGAAAAAATGTCTTCACCCCAATAATAACATACTTGACTTCGAGTGTTTAGTTTGTACATTGAAAGAATGTCACGTAGAAATGTGTTTGATTTGAATGAGTTTTTCTTCTCAAAGCAGAGGACTAAAATTGTTAATTAAGCCACAATCAAACAATATGTTCTGAATATTATGTTCTGGGCGGTTATATCTTGAGTTGATGGTAAAATGTTTTTATATTGTATTCATTTTTTTTTGGGAAAATTTAGACATTTAGGAAAAAAATTCAAAGCGGATTCGTAAATCACAAGTATATTGTTGTCTAATATTTTAATCATTTCAAAATCGAATTCTTTGAAATGACGTCATCTAATTGCTAATTGTGATGATTAGCCAAATTTTTAATATGCGTAAAAAAATTACAACAATCAGTCCAGTAGTCTCGGACATATGGGAGACAGACAGACATACCGACAGACAGACAGACAGAAACGGAAGATCTATTTTTCGTACTCTTGAGGTTATGACGCGTCGAGAAAAAATGAAAGTAGCCAGTCGGTCAATGGACTCGATTACAATATTTCCTCAGCTTACAAAAAAGCAGAAACGTGGTAAAAATCATCGTAAATTTTGTAAAGCTGCTCCATTTTAAACGTTAAAAACAAAAGAAGTGGTGGAAACCAGTAATGAAGCGGACATAAAAATTCATAAAACTAGTTTGTTCAAATGAAAAACACAAAAATAGAAGTTATAAAATTTTATTATCTACCTTAATGGAAAATTTTATTCATATATTTGACGCGAGTTAATTAATACGATGAATATGTGAGCACCTAGAATAACATTTCAAATAACTAACTGAAAATGTTTTGAAAGATAAATGATATACCGTCTGCTTCAGAAAATCGATGGATTTTAAAAATTGACAACAATGCCACGAAATCTCCCACATAAAATGCATTGCTTATGGATTTTTAACGCGGCCAAGTTAATGTGAATGTGAACTGGCACAAAGTACAGGGTCATACAATATCACATCCTGGATTTGAAATTTAAATTTCGCGGTAAGAGAAAAAAAAAACATTGCCCCCAACCACATTTGAAAAATTAATAAGAAAAACTCATTTCAGGAACAGGCAATTTATTCATGCCACCGTTCAGACTGGTTTCAGATTGGAATGCATTTGTGTATTTGTATTTCAATTCAATCAGATTCGACGCCACGGTCTCTCTCAAATCTGAGTAATTATTTTTTTGTTTATGCCGATATGTGTGTATCACCGTTTGACAAGCTGAATTTGGAGATTTTATTGTTGAGATATTCACACAATGTGAGATGCAATGTCACCCTACTTTTGATTTTCTACTGCATTTAATATTTGCCTGTCGTGTTTATTTCACACACGCTTTGTTGTAATGTAATGTGGGGCAAGTTAACGCTGTAAACTTGATGAACTTAATTTTGATTTGCTCCATAACTTGAGTTAATGCATAACTTAATATTACATAAAGTCTTTGTTGTTTGAAATTCTTGACAGAGTATGGCATAATTGAACCTCATGTGATTTTTTGTTTCTATTTTTTTTTTCAAATATTCATTCAGTTATTATAAATTCGAAAATGATGGATTTGACTGAAAACTTCCTGGGAACTTCCGCGTCCGCGTGAGAGGTGGAGCTTACCAATAGTGGCTATTTTGCGAAAGCCGGGTACAGAACATCATACGCGGCAAGTTTTTTTATATCTGTCTATACAGTAAAATCACCATCCCTTGTAGCTCGCTTGCTGATTTCTCCACTGCCATAATTTAAATTTGCGGCTACGCCATCGTCATAACTTATGTTTATGTATTAGGATCCAGTTGCCTTATGCAAATTTTGTTATGCCTCGTGTATTTAATGTTGTGATATTTAGGTATTTGCATTGATCCGCAACATTTGATTTCATTGTTGAAGGCTGGAGAAGGTTTTTCCAACCTTGGGGTTCCCCACTTTGCATTTGAAAGCATACGGTCGAACATGAGTTATAGAGCGATGAATTTTTACTTTCTGAGCGTAAGCTAACGAAGATAGGTAACTGAGTCCATCGGACGATTGACCACTTTTGTTTTCCCGGTTCCGTCTGTCTGTCTGGCGATTGTATCCATTTTTAGGTTAATAAGCTAACTGAAGGAATTTTATTATCTATTTTTTCCTCTCTCTCATTATTACTCCTTCACCCTGAAGTACAATAAAAAATTCTTACCTTTTTCGAAAACTTATACAATCTGATTTTGCGATTTTTTTTTATAAGAACCCCTATAAGTTAAAATAAAAATATGTGTGCAGTGATAAAATAAAAGTGAAAAAGGTGCTACGTAAATGTTTTAAGTGAGTTTTCCCATTACAAAAGTTTGTGATGATCTGATGATTAGAGAGCAGATTTATAAGCACAAAAAAATTAAGAATAAGCGCTTAAATAAGCACAACATTTTCAATAAAAAAGTTTTATTTTAAGCAAAAAAGCATTAAATAAGCATAACACTTTCATTAAAAAAGGTTTATTTTAAGCAAAAAAGCATTAAAAACATAATCATATTACAAATCAAAGAACACTTCTTAGAACTTTGGATAACATATTATTACAACAATCCTAGACTTTATATTTAACACCCGTATTTCAGTTTTATTTTATGATTGTAATATGTTCCAAGTTGTCTACTGTAAAATTTTTTCGCCGATCATTTAAAATGTGTTTAAAATTGGAGAATGTGCGTTCAACAGCCACACTCGTTGTTGGTGCAAATTTGAATTTTGCAACTAATGTTGAAACTAACTCCAAATTTTCCACCTTCTGGCCTTGTAAAACACGAGCAACGTCGGAAAGAACACCGAAACCTGCATTTTTATTTAACACTTCGTCAAGTTTTTGAGATACTCTAGTACCAATATTACCCCTTACTGCGTTTGCTTGTTGTTTAAATTCTTTCACTAAGTTTATGGCATCTACCAACAACATGTTGGGTTTTAATAACTTTTCTATTACCTCACATACGAATTGATAATTGCTTCTTAGAAAAGCTAGATCTTGTCGCAAATCTTTGTTTTCCAAAATATTTATGCAATCTTTAATCGATTGACAAGAATTTTCGCTAAACTCCGTAACTAATTCCTCAAATTCTTTGATATATTTGTCATAATAAAATGTGGCCTGTAACCATGTTCCCCACTTCGTTATAATCGGCTCTGGGGGCAATGGTATGTTTGGAAAATTTTCCTTAAAATGTTGCACTCTTAGTGGGGCTTTAACAAAAATCGTTTTACCATTTGCCACTAATTTATTCACAGTAGGAAACTGCAAACGTATTCCTTCAGCCACTCTGTTTAAACCGTGGGCAATGCAAGTAGAGTGAATTAAATTGGGGTACAA